AACTCAAACGGCACTTACGCATCCACACAGGTGAGAAGCCTTACGTCTGTGATATCTGTCAGGCACGCTTTACACAGAGTAACAGTCTGAAGGCACACAAGCTGATTCACTCGGGGAACAAGCCCGTTTTTCAGTGTGAGCTGTGTCCCACCACTTGTGGAAGACGGACAGATCTAAAAATACACATGATGAAACTCCACACCAGCTCCACCCCACTGCAGTGTAAAAAATGTTCTGAGACCTTCCCTGATAGATACTCCTGTAAAATTCACATGAAGAGCCATGAGGGGGAGCGATGTTTTAAGTGTGAGCAGTGTGACTATGCCGCCATGTCCTTACGTCATTTAGAGGCACACATTTTAACACACACAGGTAAGTTCAGATTTAATGATCGTGATGTCATTGCAGATAAAATAATATGTTTAATAGTACAAAGTAGAGTTGCAAATAAAGGTGTAATTTAAAAAAAAAAGTCTGTTCTAATTTTTTCAATATTTTTCAGGAGAGAAACCCTTCGAATGTGATGAGTGTGATGCCACTTTTCGACAGAAACAGCTACTTAAACGCCACAAAGGCCTTTACCACACTGATGAAGCTAGCTTAGGATCACCAACAAAGGAGGGCAGATTGTATGAATATACACTAAAATTAATTCTTTTCTGTAATCTAAGATAAACTAAAACTATTAAAATGCATGTACACTTGTAACAATTTTTATCTATACATGTACATGTATGTTACAGAAATTAATTTTAAGAAAAGAGAATATTTTTAAACAATGATAATGACAAATTGTTAAAGCAAATTTTATTCTTTCAGGATTATTGCAAAAGGAAATACTGATGAGAATAGGTAATTTTTTTCTGTACATTAAAAAATCAGAGATGAACAATGTGAAAACTTAAAGAATTTAATTCAACAGGATTACAGAACATGTACATATAAATGTACTTTATATGTGATTTTATTATTTTTTTTAATAGGCCAAAGTCAGATAGCATGGAATCCTCTTTATCCAGTGATCAACTTATCCATGGAAGTCTGCTCACAGATCTGAAGGCTGGTCGCCTAGGGAACATGCCCAAAGTTGTGATCGTACATCCGGATGGCAGCGTGGAGGAGGTGACTACTAAGCTCCACAGTCTGGCTCAGGACAAGTCCATGGAGGAGGTCATGGTGGCCAACAATGATATCATCAAGGATAAAGCAATGGAGGAAGCCATGATGCATATTGTAGGCGATGAGACTCAGGTATATACTGATTTCTCTGTATACTTTGCTACCTCAATGTTTTTGTGGTTTCTTTTTTCTCCTAAAGTGATTTTTCTCTTTGTTTAGATCTAGATTCTTTTCTAGCTCACTTGACAAGGTTGACATGAGCTTAAAGCTAAATCCCTGTCATGTGAAATCTTCCTAACATAGTGTAGGTTCAAGTTTGTTCATAGCCCCAAGGGGTACTGTAGGGCTACAATTGAGAATCAACATTTTGCATGAAATATATAGTGTTTTTTTTTTTAATTCGGCTTTTCAAAAACAGTTAAACTATGTTAAGTGATATAAATATGCAAAAATCTCCAAGTAAGAGAAAAATTCAACTTTGTTCAAGTAATGGCCACTAGATGGAAATTAGGACCACGGTAGGGAATCAAAGTTTTACATTGATATTATTTGAAATAAATGTTTATACGCATAACAATGCAAAAATAAAAAGTGATACCTGGGGTACTGTAGATCACTAAATTTTCGCGACACCTTATTTTCGCGAGATAGTCATTGGCTCTTGATTAGCGAGACAAAATTTTCACGAATTGTGGTTATTGCTCTATATAATCTAAGGAATACTATTATACGCGAGAATTAAATTTTCACGAGCACACTGTCTCGCGTAATTACGTGAAAATAAAGTTCTCGCGAATAAAAAGTGATTTACAGTATATAGTATCAAGTCCACGGTACATATCATAGTTTGTAAAATCTTGTAGAATCTTGCAACAGATGGAATACTAAAATTTAACTTTTAATAAAGGAATCGGAAAATTCAAACAGATGGAATACTAAAATTTAATTTTCAATATAGGAATCAGAAAATTCCAAGTCAGCTGTCCCAGATGATTACACTTTTACTGTGGCACAAACAGGGGACCGGGAGCTAGATGGAGCCCCCATTCAAACCTACACCATGATTTCAAATGGATCTCAAATTGTGAGTCTCGGTATCCTTATAATGGGTTTATGTTTAAAAACCTTGTTAGACTAGAATCAAAAATTCTTTTGAAATGAAACATAAAATTAAATCTAGTTTTCAGTTCATTTTATTGACAACACCATCATACATTGGCATATAGTCATGAATACAACAATTAACATACATAAAATAAAATATCAAAGAAAGCATAATTATCAGGTTTGTTGAAGGTTTTCTTTCCTAATATCAAAGCACTTTTTAGCTCACCTGAGCCGAAGGCTCAAGTGAGCTTTTCTGATCAAAATTTGTCCGTTGTCTGTCGTCGTTGTAGTCGTTCTTGTCGGCGTCGTAAACTTTTCACATTTTCATCTTCTCCTCAAGAACCACCAGGCCAATTTCAACCAAACTTGCCACAAACTATCCTTAGGTGAAGGGCATTCAAGTTTGTTCAAATGAAGAGCCATGCCCTCTTCCAAGGGGAGATAATTATGAATTAATGAAAAATTAATGGCATCTTTTAAAAATCTTCTTCTCAAAAACCACTGGGCCTGGAAAGATGAAACTCATGTGGAAGCACCCTCAGGTAGTGTAGATTCAAATTTATTCAAATCATGACCCCTGGGGGTAGGGTGGGGCCACAATGGTCGATCAAAGTTTTACATAGGAATATATAGGGAAAATCTTTAAAAATCTTCTTCTCAAGAACCACTGGGCCAGGAAAGATGAAACTCGTGTGGAAGCATTCTCAGGAAGTGTAGATTCAAGTTTGTTCAAATCATGACCCCGGGGGGTAGGGTGGGGCCACAAAGGCTGATCAAAGTTTAACATAGGAATATATAGGCAAAATAATTTAAAACTCTTCTTCTCAAGAACCAATGTGCCAGGAAAGATGAAACTCGTGAAATCATCCTCAACGTAGTGTAGATTCAAGCTTGATCAAGTCATGACACCCAGGGGTAGGATGTGGTCAAGATTGCAGATCAAAGTTTTACATAGGACTAGATAGGGAAATCTTTAAAAATTGTCTTCTTAAGTACTTCAAAGTCATCATTAGTGATATTTATATGGAATCATTCTCAGGTAGTTTAGATTATAGTTTGTTCATATTATAACCCCCAGGGATAGAGTGGGGTCACAATGGGAGATCCAAGTTTTACACTAAAATACATATTTAAAAAACTTATATAGAAGCATTTTTGGGTAGTGTAGAATTAAGTTTGTTCAAATCCTGAATTAAATTCATTCAAATCATGGCCTTTTGGGGTAGGGAGGGAAACAATGGGGAATTAAATTCAAATTTTTATGAAGTTATATACATATATAGGAAGGCAATGTTTAAAAAAAAATCTTTTTATCAAGAACAGCAAAGTGATATACTGTATTAATATGAAGGCATTCTCAAGTAGCATTAAATTCAAGCCCCCCCCCCCCCCCTTCAGTAAACTTTTCAGTTCTGATCTCATTTGTGCTTTTTCCTAGCTGATTTGCTCAGGTGAGCAATGTGACCCCTGGGCCTCTTGTTCAAAAAGGTACAAACTCTCCTAGCAGTTCTAATACTTGTAGGATTGTAGGATTGATAATGTCAATAATAGGGTTTTTCTTCATGTAACATTGTGCATTAAATATATCGTAATATTGTAATCTACATTGATCATAACTAGGACAATAAAGTACAAAATGGTTTTCATTTTCAATAAAAAATTTACAAAAATGACATACACGTTTTTCTCTAGGAATAGGTTTACTGAATAGTTGTACTGAAATTTGGTTAAATTTATGGGTGTCTAGAAATTACAAAAAAAATGAAATTATGTTGCCAAAAAAGTGATAGAAATGTTTCAGAATGTGTGCATGAAAGCCAGTAAATTCATTTAAAAAATCTTAATTTTGTACTAACTAACAATATTATTTTATATAAAGCTGAGAGATGAAGGTACACAGGCAACCTTGGAGACAGACAGTGAACAAAGTAATGAATCTCAGAACAACATAGCCACTCTCATCAGCAGCCAGACAATTCAGAAGACTGCCGACACAATTCTAGTCAGGAGCAATACAGATAGTATTCCAGCTCTCCAAGGTACACTCTACAGTAGGCTTGTATTTGTTCATTAAGAAAACAGAACAAATTGCAAAAGCCAAATCTAAATTATTTACTTACAAAAAAAAAAACATTTTATTGGTATGTTTTCTTAATTTTTTAAAAAGAGAAAAGACTGGTTTTATTGAACCTGCTCCTATCATGTGCTAGCCTTATTTATAAGTATTATGAATAAACAATAGAACATGAGTCTGTATTACAATTTACTGTTGATTATAATCCAATTCTCTTTATTCATCTGATGCAAACTTACATATATTTATAACACTTGTGAAAAATTTTTTACATTTCATATAAATTTAATTCAACTGATAAAGAGAGGATGATATTCAATGTTTTGTTGAATGGACTTTGTTTCATGGGTGGAAGAAAAAAAATTAGAAGAAAACACAATGAAATTCATGTATATATTAGTATTAAAAAAAAAAAAAGCTACTATGAATCAAAATTTTCTGTTTATAAAATTTTGTTCAATTTTTTCTGCATTAGCTGTCTCCTTATTAAGATTCAAAACAAGATGCACTAGTAAATATAAGTCAAAATGATGTAAAGAATAAAAACTCAAAAAATGAACACAATGTAAAATATCACCTATGAAATTATCAACTGTATTCAGAAGATAAGACCATAGTATTTCGCTGAAGAAGATAAAATGAATTAAATTACCTTACCGTTGAAAATATGATAAATTTTAAATTATATATTTACGTATTATATGTTTAGATGAAGTCGGCATGAAAATCGACTTGCCAACAACCCTAGATGTGAATGGAGAAGCCTTGACCTTCTATACTAGTCCTTCCATCATCACAGCACAGGGGCTGAGTTTAGAAACACTGGACAGGTAAAAGACACTTGTTTTAAAAAATCTTTAAGCGAATAAATCAATTTTATTTTTATCTATATAGCATATATTTGACATTCAGCCTTGTAGATCTACATTGCGTCTTAAAAAATCTTGTCTCATAACTTCCAAAATTTCTTGAAAACAGTAATTTGATTACAGTTTAAGTTAATATTTAGGCCATGTGAGTCAGACAGTTGACCTATTAACAGGGTTCAAAATTAACTTTTGCAAGCACTAGTCCATACGGATTAGTGGCTTCCAGCTTTCACTAGTCCGTAAAGCATTTGACTAGTCCATTTTATGATAATGATAATGTCCTCTTGATAATTAGGGCCCCGCAAGGATTTGCGTGTGCCCTATAGTAATCACTCTGTCTGTCCGTCTGTCTCTCTTCCGTCCACAAATTTTCTGTTTTTTTTCTAATAACTTTTTTTATGGTTGCCCAATCAAGTTCAAATTTGGTATGGTAGTTCAGTAGGCAGAAATACATATTTTGATGCTAAGTTTGGTTCTCAATATCTTCTGGTTTGGAGCTGGGGTGGTGGGGTAGATTCCTTAACTATGCATAAGAATGAATGGGCAACTTTTTTTTATGGTTTCCCAATCAAGTACAAATTTGGTATGGTAGTTAAGTAGGTAGAAATACATATTTTGATGCTAAGTTTGGTTCTCTATGTCCCCTGGTTTGGAGCTGTGGTGGTGGGGTAGATTCCTTAACTTTAGAATGCATTGGCAAAGAGAGATAACTGGTGAAGATGTTCCCATTGTAAAATGAATGCTGGCTATGAGTCCCTTGGGATTAATTAGCTTTCCTCCTGAAGAAAATCCAGAGCATTATCTTTATCTGTCACATTGAGATGAATTACCACCTCTGTCTGTAAATGAAGTTTGTTTTCAAGTTAAGTCAATTTGGAATGCTATGAACACTGTGAAATGTGGATTTAGATATAAATTTTTATAATTTATTTTTGTTTAATAGTTATGATTTCATTGAATTCTAAAAACAAGAAATAGATTAAAGAAGATTTTTTGATTTACTTTTTAGCTCTACTGGTCAGAGACCAGAAGAGCTTATGCGATAGTAATGCGTCCGGCGTCCGTCTGTCTAGCTGTCTGTCTGTCTGTAAACAATTTTTCAAAATGCTACTCCTCCTACAGTTTTGATCTGATTTCAATATAATTTGGCACACAAGTAGACTACACTAAGATACATAATTCTGTGTATCGGTTTTTGATTTCGACCAACGGTGTTGGCATTGTTACTAAAAATAGAAATTTCTGTGAAATTCTTTCTACTCCTCTTAAATTTCCTCTTACAAATTTGATCTGATTTCAATATTACTTGGCACACAAGTAGACTACACTGAGATACATAATTCTGTGTATCGGTTTTTGATTTCGACAAAAGGTGTTGGTGTTGTTACTAAAAATAGAAATTTCTGTAAAATTCTTTCAAAATGCTACTCCAATGCTACTTCAAATTCAGTTTTAATCTGATTATAATATAATGTGGCATGCAAGTAAACTACACTAAGAACATAAAGAGACTTATTCAAGGATCATTATTCTCTCTTTTGCTAGTGTAAAGTTTCAATTCCCAACTGCTTAAGTACTTTCCTCTTCCTTTGCTATAAGTACAAACCAGTAGAGCTTCAGTCTCAACAGAGACTTCTGGTTTCACTTTATGTTAATTAATTTTTTAGGTAGTTGTATAAAAAACCCATTCTATCATTAATACTGAAAAAGTTCTTATTGTAACTTTAAAAGAAAATGATGAGAGAGGTACAATTAATCTTTTGGGATCAATTATCTAGCCTGCTGCAGAAAATTTAGTAGGCTTTTCTTTATCTTTAAGATTAATGAAAACCTTTTTCTGCAACTGCTGTATGTTTGAAGTTAAGGTCGAGCCTTCATGATATTTGCATTCATTGAAGGCTGGCATTCTATATAACACAAGCTTCATAATTGTTTAATACGTTCAATGTTAAGTTGTTCTTTACTGCCTAATGTAATTACAAGGATATTATTTTCAGGTTTTTGAATATTCAGGAATTATCTTGAAATTTTAAGAATACAGTTGCTGTTGCTTATTCTTCGTACATTTTTTAATCATTCCGTAAGCTGCACCCTTTTAATTCTACCCCATGGCGGGGCCCTTGCTGACTGGTCAGTTTTCTAGTTCTACTTTGTAACCCCATTCACCCTTACACGGTCCAACTTTTGTGAAATAGAATTAAATTTTTGAATACAAAAATAAATTCTAATTCATATGTAGCTACAGGAAAAAATTGCAAGGTAACAAACATATAAAAAAAATTTTAATTACATAATTAAAAGAAATACTTAACTTAGTCTTAGGAGTGATTACTAATTTAAGAAAAAAAAAACCCAGAAATGTCAACATGGTCAACAGGTGAGGTCAATAAATGGAGTATCATAAAGTGTCAATAATCAATGAAAACATTGAATAAATGTTTTCATGAATTGATTGCATTACTGGGAGAGAGAGAAAAAATAAAAAAAGGTTGGTTGACATTTTTTGATATTGCTAGTATTAGTCTCACCCCTGACCTAATTATGTCCAAAATATTAAATTGACAATATTATTTGGTAACTTTTATCTGTATTTGATTAAATAATTTTCCAATACTGTTAATTGCATTTGAATCTTTAAAAATCATCTATGATCATTTACCCAAGCATGATCATATTTCAGATTTTAACTAGTCCGTACGGACTAGTGCTTTATGAACTTGACTAGTCTGATACAATTTTTACTAGTCTCGGACTTACGGACATGAGCTAATTTCGAACCCTGTATTAATATCCAGTCTTGTCCATTAATGTCATTGGACTTAAACATTGTCAGCTTCTGGAAATGACAAGCTTTTTAGCTCACCTGAGCTGAAAGCTCAATGAGCTTTTCTGATCGCCCATTGTCCGTCTGTAAACTTTTCACATTTTCAACTTCTTCTCCAGAACCACTGGGCCAATTTTAACCAAACTTGGTACAAAGCATCCTTTGGTGATGGGGGGGGGTCTAAATTGTTGAAATGAAGGCCAAGTCCCTTTCCAAGGGAAGATAATCAAGAAAAGACAAAAATTGGGTAGGGTCATTAAAAAATCTATTCTCAAGAACCATTGGGCCATAAATGCTGAAACTTATGTGGAATCAAATGGGGTAGTGTAGATACTAAATTGTTAAAATCATGACCCCTGGGGGTAGGACAGGGCCACAAAGGGAATCCAGGTTTTGCATTGAAATATATAGGAAAAATCTTAAAGGAGGCTGGGGGGGGGTCAACAAATTAACCACCAGATTTAACTTATTTTTTTAGATACAGTATCTTAAGCTGTCAACTATCATTTGGCAAAGAAAAAAATTCATACATTTTAGTTTAAAAATTTGATCATTTTTGTATATCTTTATATGGAGCTCTTCTTTTAAAGGAGGTCGAAATAGTCTGAAAATGGCTGCAACCCCCCAGCCTCTTTAAAAATCTTCTTCTCAACAACCACTTTACTATAAAAGCTGAAACTTATGTGGAAGCATTCTGGGGTAGTGTATTCTAAATTTTAAAAATCATGCCCCCCCCCCCCCCACTGGGAGTAGGGCAGGGCCACAATAGGGAATTTAAGTTATACATTGAAATATATAGGAAAATTCTTTAAACATTTTCTTCTGGTAAAGAACTGCATCACCAAAGTTGAACTCTTGTTAAACCAAGGTCTGTCTGTCTGTAAACTTTTCAAATATTCGACTTCTTCTTCAATTTCAACCAAACTTGTCACAAAGTATCCTGGGGTAAAGGGGATTCGATTTTGTTCAAATGAAGGGCCACACCCTTCTGTCAAGGGGAGATAATAAGGAATTAGTGAAAAAATAATGGCATCTTTTGAAAATCTTCTTCTTAAGAACCACTGGGCCAGGAAAGATGAAACTTATATGGAAGAATCCTCAGGTACTGTAAATTCAAGTTTGTTCAGGGGATCAAACTTTTAGATAGAAAAATATAGGAAAATATTGTTGTAAATCTTCTTCTCAAGAACAGCAAGACCATGATTGGTTATATTTATATGGAAGCATCCTCCGGTAGTGTAATTCAGGTTTGTTCAAATCATGACCCCCGGGGTAGAACGAGTCCACAATTGGGGATCAAAGTTTTACATAGGAAATATATAGGAAAAATTGTTAAAAATCTTCTTCTGAAGAACAGCAAAGCCATGATTGGTATATAAATGGAAGCATTCTCAGTTGGTTTATAATCAAGTTTGTTCAAATCATGACCCCCAGGGTGGGGTGGGCCCACAAAAGGGGATCTAAGTTTTACACAGGAACACATAAGAAAATTCTTTTTCTTTAGAACAACAAAGCCACGATTGGTCATATTTTAATGGAAGCATCCTCAGGTAGTGTAGATTCAAATTTGTTCAAGTCATGATCCTTGGGGGTAAGGGTTGGGCCCCAATGGGGGTTAAAAAAATTACTTAGAAATATGTGGGAAAAAATCTTTTTCCTCAAGAACAGAAAACCATGATTAGTCATATTGATATGGAGGCATTCTCAGGTAGTGTAGAATCAAATTGGTTCAAATGAGGGTCCCCAGGGGTAGGGCTGCACAACATTGGGGATAAAATTTTAAAAATGAATGCTAGAAAGTAAGAAAAGTCTTCTGCTCAAGAACAGCAAAGCCATTTATTATATCGATATGGAAGCATCATCAGCCATTTATTATATCGATATGGAAGCATCATCAGATAGTTTAATATTCAAATCCCCCTCCCCTTCGTAAACTTTTCAATATTGGACTGACTTTTGCTTTTTTTCCTAGCCATTGTGCTCAGGTGAGCGATATGGCCCATGGGCCTCTTGTTTAATTTATCCTTATAAATTTTATTATAAGTATTTATGACTGTATGTTTCATTCACGTAATTTCTATCTCCACGAATGTAGCAAATTCTAACTCCATGAGTTAATTTCCTGCTGTACAATACTTATGCAACACTTTAGAATGCTTGGTAATGAATGCTTTGTTTGTAATTTTAGTTGTAAAAAGAGAAAAGAACTGGAGGACCTGGGTACAGAAGCCCAGAATAAAAAGATTTGTACAGAAGAAGGGGCAAAGAATTAAAAAACTTTTATGTTGATATGTTATTATATTTGTGATAGTATCATGTTTACTTTGGTGAAAGATATAAGGAATTGGAATGTTTTTGAAAATTGATTATCTTTACAAAATATGCACTAATAAACCGTATGTTATTGAATGTTCATTTGTTTATTTGTAAATAAAGATATACTTGTAAATGTTCAACATAGTTTATTATTAAAAAAAAATATATACTCTACATATGAAGATGCATGTACCCTGTATGATATTAAGTTATACAGATTATAAATTAGCTGGTAGACTGTTGAATGCATTGCTCGATTTAATTTACATTTGTATCTAAAAGTAAGCTGTTCCTGCAAATGTAAAAACCCATTGTTAAGAGCATCATGGCTTACTTTTAGGGATAAAATATTTGTTTCCAAATGATACTTGAAACATACCTGATAATTTTATATTTCACTTGATAAGTACTTAGGTACAACATGAATGGTGTAAGTTAAAGTTTACATCATCCCCAATGCCTGCGAGCTCCAGGCAGTAAAAGGATAAATTTTTCCAAGGGCTAAAGCAAGCCAGCTTTTGTACAAGCTGTAAAGTTGCATCGTAATGTCTATTCTGTGTTTGAACAATAAGAGTCAGTAGAAAATAAACAAATAATACTTGAGGTACTGTGGGCACTAAGCTCACTACATGATACCTCCTGCCTCCCTTATGATTATAATGGCGAAGTCCACGTTTTGCTTTTGGAGACGCTAAAAAAGTGTCAGATCAGAAAGTAAAATAAGAGGTGCACAATGGCATTATGTGATAAAGAATCTGTGAAAGTAACATTAAATTTTATTCAGTAGTATATGAGTTTCGGATAAGAGATGGATACCCTTCAATATAATAGAAGGAATGCATATTCAATGTTCGCTATGGGAAACCCGAAAGAATGGGGGCGTACAAGGTGAAGACAAACCCCCGCTCTGAGAAAAGACATTGCTCAATTTTAAAAGTTCATGAAAGCTATATTTTTCAAAATTGTATGGTTTACTGAGTAAATGATCTTTTACCCATTTAATTCTATATTTCATTAATATTTTAATAATT